ACCCCCCCCCCCCCCCCCCCCCCCCTCCACTCACTAAATGGAATTGGCGACGACGCAATCTGACAACGTCGGTGGTCACGACGACGATGAATGGCAAACGAACGAATGGACGAACCGACTAAACGACGAACACCCCACACCACGATTGCGGGCGCCGCTCTGATTGAAGGGAGTCTGCAGGCTGTGCAAGGCCTCGAGCTGCGGCTGCGAGGTTTGCGACGCGGCCGTCTGCGGCTCTTGCAGCGAGGTGAGGAAGAGAAAGAAGAGAGAGCGGGCACACGTACAGCAGGTAGTGGCGCCTGTATTGTTGTTGTTGTTGTTGTTGTTGTGTTGGGCTTCACAAATCAGGCCGATCACCCTGCCGGTGAAAATCGCTTGATGGAATACTCACTATGTCTCAAAACTCTGAAGAGTGCCCGGCGCCCGGCATTAGGCCTTTTCAGTACCGTGGCACTATACGCGGCCATATACATTCAGGGACTGCTGTTTTCTGCATGCGCACCACGTTGACCGGCATGCATGCATGCATGCATCAAACACGAACTCGAAGAAGCATCGCCGCCGAACTCGCGGAGGAGAAGCGTTAGAACATTTCCGGTCCATAGTAGCGTGTCGGCTGGGTCCGCGTTTCGGAAGCCGTCTTCTTTATGTGCCGCTCTTTTTCGTTTTTTGGCAGTCATGCCAGCGATATATATATATATATATTTTTTTTTTTCCGGACCATGCCCACCTTTTTTTTTTGTTCGGCGTCTACCCTTGGCGTCTTCGCGCCGTACCTTGTCGTTCGTCTCCTCCCCCGTGCCCTTGTCGCCGCCAAACGCTGTTAGGTCTGCGGCCGTTGCGGTACGGTTTCATGCCCCAGGTGCCTCGACATGACTGTAGTGCGGAAGTTCTGCGAGGTAAGTTACACTTACTCGCCAGACGACGTTTTTTTTTTCATTGTTGTTCTCGTCGCCGGCCAGCCTCGCGTCATCGCTCGTTCGTCTACTTTGAGCACACGGCACTGCCATGGTGGTGTTCGTTTCTCGTTCCGTCTAGTTCCGTGTCCCGTTCGGTTCATTTTCTTCGTCTTTTGTTACAGAATTTCGTCTTTTTTAGGACCACAGCTTGTGCGCTGCTTCTAAGTATGCCAGCACCAGCACCAGCACCAGCACCAGCCGTGATCACCGTTGTCGTCGTCGTCGTTGCAGCAGTCGTGTTTCAAGCAGGCGTTTTGTGGGGACGAGACGACAAGCGGTTGATCGAACACTATGTTACCCTGCGGTCGAACTCTGTCTGGTCAAGGTGTCGAAATGCCGCGGTGGTGCCACCGGAAGGGCTGTCACATCGTCCCACATACTACATAAACATGCGCACTCGCAGCATCGCCACCCCTTCTACCGGATCCTGTTGAAAATCTTTCGTGTTCCAACGATACGGCTTATATTTCTTGTGGACGGCGGGCGGGAGAGCGCTGCTTACGACGGCGAGAGCGCAAGTTTTTTGTGCTTGTTTTTTGTTTTTGCATGTTTTGGTTTCCGTTTGCGCTTGAACATGTGTTGGGTAGCTTTGGCACGTGTGCACGCCCCGCTTGAATTTTTCCCCAGGTTTTCGTTTGGATTCGATCACGACTGCTTGCCACCGCCGACGCTCTGCCGTCCGGCTTTGACTGCCGCCGTCCTGTGGCGTCCCGTGCTCTCGAAAGGGGTGCGATGCCGATAGGTGCCTGGTGTGCCTGATGCGGATGAGGCCGTGCGACACGTGCGGCCAGACGGTCAGCATTGGCCGGGTCCGTGAGGTGCGTTGGGCTTGAATGGCTTTTGCCAAGCGACTGCGTGTGCTGCGTGCGTACCTGCTTCATTTTTTCCATCAATCATTGGCAAGATAGGCGAATAGCACTTGGTGCCTCGTTGTGCACGGGCCTTGGTTGACGACCGCGTTGTACTTCTCAGTGCCGCACGTTGAACGGTATGTACGGCCATCTTATGTTTGTTGTCGTGGGTGCTGAATGGGCCACGAAGAGGAGCACAAGTACTAGCTGGCGAGATGTCGCGAGCTTGTTTTTTGCCCTCGGTTTTGCGGCACGTCCCAAGCTTGTGATTCTCTCGTTGTGGTGAGGTGACCCGTTGATTTTCCACACAACAGCAGCAACCCTAAGCTTACTAGCATCTTTGCCGTGCGATCCAAATCCAAGCGACTGCAATCGAGAGACAAAAAAGACGAAAGAAACGCCTCACATGACATGATCATCTTGGCACCATGTTCCGTGCGAGACGTGTGGAGGTAAATAGACCGTCGATACCGCCGAAGGACTGCGACGCGTCCACCCATTGTGTTGTCAAAACGCGCAGTCCCGTCCTCCAGACCTGAACTATTTCGGCGCGGGTGGCACTCGCTACGTACGCCGCAGCAAGTAACACGTAGATGTGCGAATATATTTTTGCAAGAAACTTGGCATCGGACACTCTTCCTTCTGTTGGGAGAGAGGTATTCGCAGGCACAAAATGCAGGCATCTGCAGTTTAACCTCAGGATCACGCCGAAAAGATTCCGTTAGGAGTCTGGCGAGTTGGTGCTCTGCGGTCTGCGCGATAGGCAAGCGGTTCCAGTGTCGCCATTGCGCTGCAGACACTGCATTCGGTGCACATGCCCCGCAACAGAGGCCACTCTACACACCGGTCTGTGTTCTGCCCCCCCCCCCCCCCCCCCCCCCCCCCCACCCCA